AAGAGTATGGTGAAATGAAGAACTTAATTTTTAATTTAGAATTGTATTTTTATACGTCAAGGTATCTTAACAATTTTAGCATTGGATCTTCGTCCATTCGTGGCTCGTTTTGCTCTTTGTAAAGGTATAGGAAAAGGTGACCCAGTTTTAAATAAGAATAATAAGCGTGTGTTAAAATTCTTGCCAGTGATTTCTTTGCAGACTTTATATATACCAGTCACGGTTAACGAAACACAAGTTAAGTTAAGATGTATACCAGAGTAAACTCATTCAAAGGAACAGTTGCCATTCGTAATAAGTGTTCGAAGCACTTTCCTGTGACGTCACGGCGGCTATATTCCATACCAACGAAAGCTTCCTTTACGAGAGCATAATTACCTTTTCTGAAAAAAATAACTCTTTGGCTTAGGCCTTCTGTTGGAAGCACTTAACAGCAGGCTCTTGTTCCTTCGACCACGTGGTGAGTCACATAGAAAGCTGCTTTTTGTAATCATTTTTTTTTTCTTGACTAAGAGGAAAACAAGGAAAAAAGTGCGTTACTATAAAATTCTATTCTCAGTTTTATGAGAGTTTCTTCAACTTCTCGCTTTCCTTTTGTCATTCGCCTTTATGCAAGTTGAAATAAAAGAAAAACAGAAAGAGAACCTCAGATTCTCTCAACTCGTTTTGTCTTTTGATTGTTTTGGAAGTGGGTGAAATGGACACTTAAAATTTTCCAAGTTGCCCAAGCTATCAAATGAAAACATTAGGAGCTAACGATTCGCTGAGGGGAGGTTATAAAATGAACTCAGAAAACCCTAGAAATAAGCGCCTGAAATCCCAGACAAAAAAATCTTCTTTAGGCGGGGACCGATAGGTGATTTTGACATGAAATATCCTGCAAGCGTTCTTGTACCACAAACATGTACACGAAGACTGCCAAAAAGGATGAAGGAGTTAAGAAAAATCCATGCCTGTGCCAAATCACCTCCCACCGCTCAAAAGTCACATGATCCATGCGTCCGTTAACTCGACCCTGAAAATATTCATCGCGAAGAGAGCATCCAGTGCTGGCTCCGTGAGCTCGTTGAGCCTGAAAAATCGAAACGCG